CCCTGCTTCTCTGCTTTTTTGTTTTTGTGCTTCTGTGCCTTTCTACTTCTACTATATATTCTACTTTTTCTTTTCTTCAGTCATGTGTTTTTGCTGCTCTGCTCCTCTGCTTCTCTCCTTCCTGTCTTTACTGCCTCTTTGTTTTTTCTTTTCTTTTGCTTTATTCTCTCCTGTTTGTATCCTAAATGAAACCCTAGAGACCCTAGGTGAAACCGAAGAGACCGTAAAAAAAATCCTGATAAGAACTCCTGATAAGAAACCCATACATGAAACCCTAAATGAACCCTAAAGACACCATAAATGAACCCTAAATGAAACCTTAAATGAAGCCCTAAAGGAAGCCCTAAAGAAGCCCTAAATGAAACCCTAAAGAAACCCTAAATGAAACCCTAAAGAAACTCCTAAATGAAACCCTAAAGAAACCACATGAACGTTTGAAAATCCTGATAAGAAACCCTGATAAGAAACCCTGATAAGAAACCCTGCATGAAACCCTAAATGAAACCCTAAAGAAACCCTAAATCAAACGCTACATGAAGCCCTACAGGAACCCTAAAATCCTAAAGAAACCCTAAATGAAACCTCTCGGTGACTGTTTTTCGCAAGTGTGTGTGCATGAGAGATCATAAGGGTTGATGAGAAGTCAATGGCACCATTGAAATTGAAGCTTTGGGGAGTTTCAGGTGCCACAGCCGGCGGCTCCACCGCGGACGCCGGAGCTGACCCGTGCACCGGAGACTCCTCCGCACTGGTTGCGCGCGGCTCCAGCTCCGGGGATCCTGCGTTCTGCGACTACTCCGCGCTCATTTTGTTTGAGTGAATTGTTTGAAGAGGAATGATTTCGAGTTGAAATAAGTTAGCATATTGTGTTCCCAGGCCGGATTAGCTTGCCGACGGAGGCGGGAATCGTTAGGAAGGGGTGCGAGAGCAGGAAAGGTAGAATCTATGAGCAGGGGGAGTGCTGTGCTGTGAATGGGATGGAACTATTGATTGATGCTTGATGCGAGAATGCCGTCGGAACAAGCTTGGCAACAGGAGGAGGAGCCCGTGAAGGTACCGATCCAGAACTATGTATAGTATACAAGCATCTGGATCTTTGGGTGTCGGGGCCTTGGAAAGGTTGGCAGGTCTGGCAGGTATACCGTTGCGCAGGAGAATAATTAATTCACATACATGCAGCCGTGCGCAATTCAAGAAAAACTGTTGTGTATGTAAAGGTGTAGAACCATTTACGCTACAGAGGCGATGGCTTGGTTTCTTCGCTTGTATGAAATAGATTGGCAAATGGCGAGTCTTTTTTAGCATGTATGGTCGCTGTTGAAAAACATGTTGTGTCGGACGAGGCCGCACGCGGGAGCACTCGTGGAGTGCAACTGCTGCCACCAGCTGCGGCCGCAGGGGCAGGGCTGGTTCCAGGACAGGAATATGCATTAGCCCTTTTGATACAACGTTGACCATGTATGGCCAGAAAGTTTGGAATTGCGGGCCTTGCAGGGCGGGCAGCCGCAGCAGGAGCAGGTCGGGTGGCAGCAAGAGAGGCGAGACCCAAAGCCAAAGCAGCTGCCACAAAAAAGCAACGTCGCTTGCCTCCATCGAAACATGCAGCGGCTTGAAGGATGTGTACCTTCTTAACCTGTATGCGTCTGCCATGGACGCGTCTCTCCTCACTGCATGTTGCCCAGACGCCTTCGTTCACTGGCTACGACAAATCTACATGGTATTTGTTGAAGGATGAGATGAGCCGTCGTGGGTGGAAAGTGTGGCACCCTAAGTTTCCTGAGGAGAAGGATCGAATATGGTTGCCGTCATGCGAGTTCAAGCGCCGCATGCTGATTTTCAGACAGTACGAGAGGAAAAGGTTTTTTGAACAAAGTTCAGGTCAGGTCAGGTATGTGTAAACGTGATGTCCTCGATTTTGTTCGATTGAAGAAAAGTGACTTTGTCCACCCATGGTTTTGCATGGGACTTGCAATGTAGAAACATGATACGAAAGGAATTAGTTGCAAGTTGGTTGACTTGCAGGACGTGGGTGCGTCGCAATTCACCGGCAGTGTGTCAGACGCTCAATGGAGGAGCCGTTGTTCTGTAAGTTCAACGGGAGGCCTACGTGCTCTATGTTGCGTAATCCGATTTTCTTTCAATTATTATAAGACATTTGTTTCCCGAATGCGTAGCAAGGGTTCCCGTTTCACTCTGGGGTTCTGGGGGTTGAGGGTGTGTTCGCTCGACATTTTGCGTATATGTTCGCCGTCCGCAACCGTTCGCAACCGCCCTCAACCGTTCGCGTGTTGCCGTATGGCCGTATGGCCGTGCCTATGGTAAGTTCTGCCAAAGGGATCACTTTTGGATGTTTCCAGCGTCGCGTAGCTGCGTTTCGCGTGGCAGGCATGGCACTTCGTGACATTCAGATGTGTTTTGTGACGTGTCGACAGTCGTTTTGTGTGGCAGGGGCAGCAATACCCTTGCAACGTTTTCGCAAGATGAGTTGCAGTTTTCATGGCGGGCGCAGCACTGTGGATGTGTCCATCGTCATTTTGCGTCGCAGTGTTGTGTGTTTTTTTGCGAATCGCATTGTCAGGGCTGCGTCAAGTGGCGACAAGGTGCAAATTCCGTGGCAGGTGTGGAATTTCGGAGGAAGCCTCGCGCGAAACATCGATTTTGTGGTAGCAAATTCAGAGGGTCATAAGAGAACTCGTAGGAACACGTCGATTTTGAAGCTACAAAGTGTGAAAAATGGAGGAAGTCTCGCACGAAATGCTCGTTTTGATGCTCCCACGTGTCTCGTCTCGAGTCTGGTTTTTTCCTGCGGCCTCGCCGTGTCTATGGGGGAAGCTGCAAAACCTCTCCTTTTCGAAGGTTTCCAAGCAGGTTGTCATGTCGTTTTGCGTGGCAGACGCAGCACTTTGTGACATTCCAACCTGCTTGATAACGTGTCGAAGGTTGTTTTGTGTGGCAGGCGCCATTTTTGCGTTGTTTTCACAAGATGAGTTGCAGTTTTACAATCGCAGCACTTTTGAGACTCTGTCGTCATTTTCCGTGGCAGGCGCAGCACTTCAGTCGTGTCGCATTGCGTGCTCTACACTCTACAATCTACACTCCGCACTCCACCCTTTACACTTTACACTCTCCACTTTACACTCCGCACTCTGCACTCCACACTCCACACTTCACACTCCACACTCCACACTCTACACTTTACAATCCACACTCAGCACTTTACGCTCCACACTCCACACTTCACACCATACGCTCCGCACTCCACACTACACTTTACACTTCACCATCCACACTCTGCACTTTACACTCTACACTTAACACTCTACACTTTACACTCGTGCACTTTACACTTCAGACTCCACACTCTACACCTTTACACTCCACACTCTACACTCCACACTTTACACTTTACACTCCTCACTCCACACTTTACACTCCACACTCCACACTCTACACTTTACACTCTACACTACTTAACACTTTAAACTCCACACTCAACACTTTACACTGTAGACTCCACACTTCACACTCCACACTCTACGCTCTACACTTTACACTCCACTCTTTACACTCCACACTCTACACTCCACACTCTACACTCCACACGTCATACTCCAAACTCCAGAGGCTACACTTACCACTCCAACTCCACACTGTACACTTTACACTCTACACTCTACTCCACACTCTACACTCCACACTCCACACTTTACACTCCACACTTCATACTCCAAACTCCAAACACCAGACTCTACACTTAACACTCCACACTCCACACTTTACACTGTACACTCTACACTTCACACTCCACACTTCACACTCTACACTTTGCACTTTACACTCTACACTCCAGACTCCACGCTCCATACTACACTTTACACTTCATCATCCACACTCTGCACTTTACACTCTACACTTAACACTCTACACTTTACACTCCACACTCTACTCTCCACACTCTACACTTCACACTCCACACTTCACACTCCACACTCTACCCACTACACATTACACTCCACGCTCAACAGTTTACACTCCACACTTTACACTCCACACTTTACACTTCAGACTCCACACTCTACACTTCACACTCCACACTCTTCACTCCACACTCTACACTCCACACTTTACACTCCACACTTCATACTCCAAACTCCAAACACCAGACTCTACACTTAACACTCCACACTTTACACTTTACACTGTACACTCTACACTTCACACTCCACACTCTACACTTTACACTCCACAATATACACTTTACACTTTTACTTTACACTCCAGACTCTACACCCTCACACTCCACACTTTGCACCCACTTTCTTCCACACCCCAACAGCCTGCGGAGCACTGGTATGGTAACAGGGGAAAAATGCACAAGACTGTTCAAATAAACTGTTGCAGAATAGCGTTATTTGTGACTGCATATCCATGTGCTTTGACATCTGTGCCATTAACATACGTGTGAGCATTCGGGTTCGTGGGCTGCATTTTGTTTTTTTTCTTGTTGTTGTGGGCGCATGAGTATTTAGATTGTGCATGAATATTTGAGTGCTTTGTCATATGGGAGACTGTATAATTGATGTGGTTTACAGCGATTATTGCACCATCATCGTGTATGATTTAGATGGGCTTTCGATAGATGTAAGGTTTTAAAATTGCCTACAGATGCCTGCAGTGAACAGAAAAAAACAGATGGTAACATATTTTATGTATTGGCAGATTGTAAATCGCAGGTGCATGCACCTTGCATTGAAGGAGTTTCTAGCATTTAAAAGATTTATCAGGATGTGGTAGTTGTTTTGCAGCATTGCGAATGGTTTGTGAAAAAAAGGTGAAGAAATGATTGGGTGTATTCCAATGCCAAATGTTGTTGGTTGAAACCTATTGTTGTTGGCAAGGCTTTGCCGGCTGGAAGTCATGCTGTGAAATGGGATGGATATTGTTTGGGCATTTTTTAATCAAGACCTCAACCGGTGCTACTTCAAAGTAAGGATTTCAGGATGTCATGGAATTGTGTGGTTGAGGTGGTGGTGCGATCACTGCTCGCGCCACTCGTCCTGAGCAACTTGGTGATCGATTGTGGGGTGCGCGGGCGGGTGTGATTTAATAGCCCCGAAGGGATATTTTTTGGGGGGGATGAATGGGTTTTTGTTCACAGTGTTCCGTAATGCTGTCTACAGTGTCTTATGGCACATATCCTGTTTGGAGCGTGTCCACGTTGAACGCCTGAAGTTTTTGAATCCTTTTTTCTTCACATTGTTCCTCAATGCGGTCCTGAGAGGCTCATGGGATATTTCCTGTTTGGAGTGTGTCCACGTCGATCGATTAGAACTGTTTGAATCTTGTCTTGTTCACATTGTTCCGTGATACGGTCCTGAGGGGCTCATGGTACATGCTGGAGTGTGCCGCGGCCTTGTGTTTAATCTTTTCCGCATGATTGTTGATCACACGTTTCGAGGTGTAGGGGCGGTCATCCTGGATCCGCGGCAGTGACGCTGTACTATATTTGGATGCCAGCAAGTCTCCAGTATGCGAAAAACAACATGGATTTAGAGGGGCATGGGGGAGGATGATGGTATGACTTCTTCCCCTCTGCCTCTGATTGCATTTCATTGCCTTTGTTTCTGCCGGTGCTTTCTGCATATATCTCTCCGCCTTGTTGCTTCCATTTCTGCAGCTCAGGTTTGTGGCCCACCGCAGACACTCGTGGGGGACAGAAAAAGGGCCTGATTCGGCAGCATGAGTGTCGTACTTGTGGCCCCTCCTTGTATACGTTACATTACATTGCATTACATTACATTACATTACGCTACAACAACTGCTACATAACAACTACAACTTACAACTTACAACTACAACTCCACGGCACTACAACTACAACTACAACTGCGCTACACCACACTACATCCAGCAGTTGTGGTGATGTGACCACTGCAGCCATTGCAACCACTCCAAAAAACACAACTCCAACCATCTGTCAGTCCAGCAGTGGATTCGCTCTGCCATCCGTGATTCACAACAACCAGCCTCTCCTATAGGTTTCCTATTTTTGGATCTTCTGCCACCGCCTTGCGCGGTACTACTGGCAATAGATAATAGATCATAGTGCAATGGAGGATGTAATGCAGAATTAGAGGAATTAGCGAGTCTCTGTATGTTTTTTGCACGTCGATCTTATAACGCATGGCCTACTATGACATGGTTCAGCAAAGAATCCATCCCATCCCAGCGATGGTTTTCCCATGGTGTTTAAATATTCGTTCCCATTTAGAAACTCCAATTTGAAAATGGGGGGAATGCTGAACCATGATATGGATTTTTCCATTTGTGGTTAGTTATAATTTACCATTGTGTTACAGGATGGTGCCCCCCAGTTATAAGCTGGTTTATAAACCCCATTAACTATAGTTATATTTGCCATAAACCATAGTTATGGGAGTTATAAACCAACTTAGCTAACTATGGGGCACCACCTTGTACCATATAATTCTATACATGATAATTAAAACCCATGGGTTCCCATATATGAACACTTCATTTTCCCATGGAATTTTCCATTGCATCTTACCTCCAGCTGTAGTTCCGTCGCAGGTCTGGCGAGGAAGCGAATCTCAGGCGCGCAGGATGCGATGTTTGGGGATACCAAATCGGTCCCTCTATTGTTCCTAAAAGGATCTAAAAGGAAAACGCTCATGGGGATAAAATGATGGTTAAACATGTTTGATAATTTCAATGGTGGTTAAAAACCATGGTAATTTCAGAGTTTGCGAACTTGAAAATGGATGAACATGGCGCATTTATCGATCATTTACTTCTTCAACATGGTGAATTTTCCATAACTATGTTACCAGAGAGAAATCCACAACTCAAACGGGAATTTGGGAATTTACTAGTCGGACTTGAGCCAAGAAGAGACAACCAACTATATATTATAATTATAATTAATTAAGAATGTCTGAAATTTCGACCAACCGTCAAAGATGGGAAATCAGTAAATCAAAATGTTCGGATACGTCAAAATCATTGAGCAACAAACCTTGGGATGGCCAAAAAAAATTGGGATACAGGATACACTCAGAAAGTATGGCCAGGGTGTCATCATTCCTTTCTTCTGTCTAGCCACAGAGGTGACAAACCCAGGTCCTGCAGGAAACTGAGAATTTCACCATGCTGCCAAGGCAAGCTTGGAGTGTGAGTGACGAACAGGCCGGGTTTGGGGTGGCGATGATGCGATAAGACAGTGCTTCATGGATTTCAATGGTTTGCAATCAATGGTAATTTTATCCACGTCCAAACAAAATAGTTGTCTGAACACTTATCACATCTGTTTTTGCAGTTTTCCATGTTTTGTTGACTCACATTGGTGGTTTTGTGCATGAAACAACTAGCAACTGATGGAATTCCCAGGGTTTCAACTCTGAAGCAACCAGAAACCTAGTTCAGGATTCCTTGGTTTTGTTACCATGTATTTTTTTGTTATACCGGCATATTTTCCAGTGTCAAACCTGAATTTTAGATCCCAAATGTTTATATTATATATTATATTATATAGTAGAGTCCGACAGGTTGTGGTAATTCAACATGCAAGTGGTACCTCCCCAGCTTAATAAGGTAGGGATTTTTTCTCGTGGTTTGTTATTTATTCATTTAATGAGTTATGATCAACTAAGAAATGATCACAAATGTTGGAAACCAGTTACATTGACCAAACAAGTAGATGTGTTTTTGTTGTAATCATTAACGCTGAAATAAAAAAAAAGAATGATTAGACACGACCAGTAACATCAATGTATTGTATACATAATGATATTATATATATTTATATATATATTATATAGATGTTCTTTTTCAACCGGTTAGTCAATGAAAAGAGCGTAGCGTAGCTCATGTTTCAGTGCCTGCACTGCCCAGGGGCCATCTTTTGGAGAAGGCGAGCTGCGCAGGGGCTATTTTTGGTGGTTTTCCATAAATGGGGGTACCCCCGAATGGATGGTTTATAATGGAAAATACCATCTAGAAATGGATGATTTAGGGGTAACCCTTTTTTAGGAAACCTCCATATATATATATATTATATTATATATATATGTATCTGCATATGCCGTAACTCTGAGGCTATGCTGGTATGACACAGTGCTTCGTGACACTGCGCTTGATTGATGAAGCGGTTGGCAAAGTTGATGCCACCAATGTTGTGTTACTGTAAACTTCGAAGCCAGAATAGAATGTCAGAAGATTATACCATATATATATATATATATATATTTCAGGGTGGGGATCACAGGAAGTAAAGTAATTGGTGGTTTTGGATGTTTTTGGTATTTCTGCTTTCATGGGAAATTGCTACAGGTAAATCCTGTAAAAAATCCAAGGTGAAGATCTGGCCGAAAGCCTGTTGCCACTACTGGCGAGGTGCCTTTGGCCGTTTTGGGGAGGCACCTGGGAATAAAGTTCGATCTTTGTGGTTTAGTCATATTTTTTTAAAGCCCCGATATGGTGTCATTAAACCTATATTAAGCTTCTATTATTTTCGGGCCTCTCATATCTTGCTTTGCTGTTGCGCCTCTAATTTGGGCTCGCGAGATATTTGGAGAGGCCTGGGCCAACAGGGCATGAAAATCAGGTCTTGGAAGTTAAGCAATGCCAAGGTCAGCCCTTGTGTCGTTATCAAAAAGGTTATACCAACTGGTTGGGGATTGATGGGGGATTGATGGGGACTTTCCCGCCATAACCAGTAGAACAGGATGACAGAAGGCATTGGTGCATCCCGGTTAGTGTACCCCAGATCCAGCTGTTTGTCAGCATGTTTCTTGCAAGGTGGTACCCCAGTTCAAACGCTCTCAGTTGCTTTATAGCTCCAATAATTGTTCCAGTCCAATAACTATATGGTTTATGGATGTTTATGGTAGATATCACTATAGTTTATTATCAGTTGATTGGTTTATAAACTAACAAATATATCCGAGCCCACCGTATAGGCTTTATGGTAGATTTATCAAACTACGTCCAGGTTGTCATCGAAGGAAAGGGATGCCTTGCTTTCGAAGATGGCGGATCTACAACGACAAGTCCAGGTGCGTTTCGTGACGAAACGCGCAGTGTACCGAAGCGTGAAACTTGTGGTTCACCGTCATAACGGGACAATCTATGAATGATTCCATGGGGATATAGTAGGTGGGATACGTATACATATATATATATATATATACATATGTATGATGTATGGGATATGCCATCTATAAATTTATAGATGGATATACCCTTCTGATCATCTTAAACAGTTAGTTAGCTGGGAAGTCCCGGAACTTCCTTGACGATTGCATAGCATGATCACTGGTGAACAGTCACTGACTAGACTATAGTGACTATAGACTAGGTCAATCTTACATGGATACCTACTAATCCTAACTAGTCTTTTGGTATTTTCATGGGAATATCTACGTTCAGCTGCTTTTTTAAATATTTTTTGCAGGGTATCTAAGATTGGCAATGTAGATAAATAGTGCCTGACTCTTGATTGAGTTCTTTTTAATTATCCTCAAGATAGCAAGAAAGGAATGCTATGAATCCTGGGTGAAAATTGTGGATGGGGCTGCAAAACCACAACAAGCCGTTGCCAACTTGGATGAACAGTAAGCATCTGGGCGAATTTGACTGAACCACCATGAAACATCATGGGAACACATCGTTTCGAAGTTTGCTGTTTGTATAGTTGGATGGTATTGTTTTCATCCGACAGCGTGTCGGCTCCAGTGGCTGTTATTTTCCAAACTTGTAACAAAATCACCAATATTTGCTTGTCAAGGGACCACCTTGTTTATCTTGTTTTATAGGACTGGCTTTCCAAAGTTATGTTAATCATAATGGCAATGATACTCCCAATGTCAATGGTATCAATCCCAATTAAATACCATATTACCACCTCAGGTTGGTGGTGACTGGAACTTTTGCCATTTTTCCGTATATTGGGAATGTCATCATCCCAACTGACGAACTCCATCATTTTTCAGAGGGGCAGGTCAACCACCAACGAGACCTTGTTTTGTTGGTCACATCCCAGCGGCGTCAGGCGGGAGATGTCAGCCGGAAGCACCGGAAGCCCAGTGGGATGACGGGTGGCATTTCTTCAGGGAACAATGTGGCTACCACGGTAAAGTGGTTATCAAAGAAAAACACACCAACCCTTTGGTTATGACTAACAGTTTGCCATGGTATAGATGGATGTATAGATGGCCCATAGAAATAGATGGTTCACCGTTCTTAATAGCATGGTGATTTTCCATGGCTATGTTAAAAAACCAGAGGGTAAATAAATAAACAAAAACATTCACAAATGATGTGATCCTTTAAACACATCCCAAATAGGAGTAGACCCCTAGACCCCAATTGGGGCATGGTTGATTGTTGAGTTTACCTGATTATGAAGGGTTTGACTCATCTGAAACATCAGGATTCGATTCTCTGAGGTTGGAAGAGATCTGCCGGCAACTGGTTTTCTCGGCTGAGTCTTGTGCTGTTTCTAACTTCCGATTCAAGGCCAACAGCCACATGGCCTTTCTGGCAGTAAAACGGGTGATTTCACCAAGAGTGGCATGGGGTATAAAACTCAGAATGGGGACATGGGATACACTTTTGCAAGACAACAACTTACTGGTGCGTTTTACGTAGGGTTGCTGGATGGGTTGCTGGGGGTTGCTGGGATGATTATTACTAGTGATGACATGGATCATTCCCGAAAATTCCCTGCGTTTAGCACCTGTAAAACAAGCCTGGATTTGTGATGTTCAATATTCCCGTTGTCTTGATCCGACCCGGCATTCGGGGAATCTCTTGGAGAATCTGTGGACCCTGGGATTTTGGCTCCCAACATTGGTCAGACAAACACCATCAAACACCACTCACCATTAATGTCAACCCCGGATTAAGAAACCATGGTTTATTAATCCAAGGTTGACATTACTATACATCAGTAACGTAGTCACAATGAGCAGCTCGCCCTTCAGTGGATGGTTGACTCCAAAAGAAGTCACGGAAACTGATGTTTCACTTCTGCATGTTTGCTAGAATCCTTCTGGCTTGACTTATTCCTCCAGTTCACAAGTTGTGATTTTTTTTGCGCCACGATATCTACTGGATTTTTTTTCCTGAAGGAGAAACCCAACAAATAGATACAAGTAGGACACTTCTGTTGTTGGGAAAATGCCAGTTGGACCCTCCCACCGGCGCCAAGAGACAGACTCCTCCAATTGACTTTACGATGGACTTAACCGTTAAACCAGAAACTCAGACTTCAATCACAAAGAATTGTGCAACCATTCAGAATGTTCAGAAAACAAAAACAACTGATATGTTCGGTCCATTTTTTACCTGGAGACATGAATTGCAATGTGTTCAGAATTGCCAGATGGAAATTTTGAACCGTCCATTGCCAGGGGCTGGAGTGTCGTGGGTGCAGCCCTTGTGGGAATGTGGGAAAATTTCTGAGCGGAGGTCGTGGGAAACATCATCTACAGAATCTACCCTCTGGTTATTTAACAGTTTGTCATGGGAAATGGCCCATAGAAATAGATGGTTTACCTATTAAAAATGATGATATTCCATGGCTATGTTAAATAACCAGATGGTAAATAGAGGTTTTATTCATGGTGATTTATTCCTTATAAAGGGAGGTTTTATGGCCCATGGCGAGTTTTCTAGCCATGTTTCATAACACCGAAGGGTATTAAATCTTTTTTTGCAGGGCGATACACCTGGATCTTGTCATGGTCTAGAGTCGCTAGAGCCTGCCTGAAATCTAGGATTATGTATGGTTTTAGTTCCATGTATGGATAGAAAATGATGGCAACAATTGCATGAAAACTATACCAATAATATAAATGAAAGATCAAACTGCAAACGACTGAAATTGATGAGAGCTCCAAACGACGTCTTGCCATCATCGAGTTCACAGCCCCTTTTGATACGCCTGAGGTTGAAAAATCGGACAAGTACAGCCATCATAGGAGGGTAGCTGGCCTAACAATCCGTTTGTCATGCCAACGGGTGAACTTCTAGAATCATACCATACTCTTTAAGGATGATCATGGCAAAAGAACTTCCCTATGGCTAGATAATGTTCCTTCTCAATCATTGCAAGCATTGCACCATCGGGGGCCGATGGTATTGAAACTGGAAGTGGAGCTCGGCCATATTTTGTATTTGCAACATTGACTCATTCCTTGATAGATAAGTCAGATCAGAATTTATACTGGCATGTGCTGGTTGCATCACCATCTTGATTGTGTTTTTAAATTACGTTCTAAATGTGGTTCAATTCCCAGGTTGGTTTGTGAAACATGCATCATCTTTGTTGGTTAAATTACATCCTACACATCCCACAATTTCACATTTGATATTTTAAAGTTGGTATAAGTTGGTGACATCCCAAATCTCTGTAGATCACATGTTATTTTTGGATGTTTGTCAGCTCAAGAAATCCATCCCAGTTCTGTCAGACTGTCAGGGCTGCTGAAAGTCGCTTACTCAACAGCCAAAAAAACCCGGAGACGGAGCGGTCGCGTGAGCGGTGGCCATGGGTGGTTGAGGCCGTGCCGTGCCTCGTACCACAAACCAATCGTTTTAAGTTGATGGACTTAATATGGCTTAATGGGACTTAATATATCTTAATATGGACTTAATAGATCTATATACTGCTTGGTGGCGACTGGAACCATGGAATGGATTATGACTTTCCATGAACAGTTGGGAATGGAATCATCATCCCAAGTGACGAAGTCCATCATTTTTCAGAGGGGTAGGTATACCACCAACCAGTTATAGTTGCAGATGTCTTTACATATGTACAGTATATACATATAATATGGGATAATATGTAACTGGGATTATCCCATATATTATCCCAACATGAAACCTGTATTTGTTTGTGCAAGATATCCAGGATTGGCCATGTTCATAGATCAAGCCCGGTTGACGTTGCGTAATACGCCTCACGGCCTTCGAATGGCCGTGTCTTGAAATTGGGGATCCTAATCATCCACTGCTTTTTTATGGATTGGCAATTTAAGAAGCATCCATTTGGAATACCCTCTGGTTATTTAACATAGCTATTGAAAATTGCCATAGAAATAGTGAGTTTTCCCATTAATAGCATGGTGATTTTCCATAGCTATGTTAGTTTACCAGAGGGTATAAGCCCATATGGATGCCCCAGAGAACATATTCCAAATATTCCAAGACTTGTTGACCACTTGCAGTAGTTTAACATAAAAACAGCAATTTAATTGCCATTCTATGTCCACCATATTTTGTACTGGTTGGTGGTTTCAAACATGTTTTATTTTCCATATGGGATGCATCCTTCCCATTGACGAACTCATATTTTTCAAGATGGTTAAAACCACCAACCAGTCATTATTATCCATTACTAACCATCATTAACCATCATTAACAATCATTAAATCACCATTAAATCACCATTAAATCGTCATTTGTTTGTTGATGTTGTCATTTGATGATTTTCAATGTTCCATTGGTACAGCGTTCGCCGATTCCCATCTTCGCAGGATTTCGAAGCCATTGCGGCAGCACAAAAGCGAATGGCTTGCTTGGAGGTGGGACAACCGCTCCCCCAGATGATGGCTTTGACCAAATTTTGCGACACAAACAGTATCTTGGCACACACCTTACGTAATTTGAGTTCAGTGGTTGTATCTTTCATGGATTATGGAAATGCTGCAGTGGCCAAGCTCATTGGAAATGCTGCCAAGAGTTGCCGTTGTGCTGATGTGACTTTTGAGCAAAACAGACAAGATTCCACAACATTCCACGATTCCAAAGGTTCCAAACTTTGATCATCTAGATATACCTAGATGATCAAATCAACTGAGAAAGCCTAGGTTTTCTCATGGTTTCTTTCCATGTTTCTCCCAAGTTCGGGGCCTCAGGAGCAACTGGAACTTCAACGAGAAGGTCTGCAACGGCAACGCCGCAAGAGCGTTCAGGCCAGCAGAAACGCTGTAAGATCATCCAGTTCAACGAGTTTTCTAAAGCAAAATACAGGGTTTTTGTGGGTTTTGAAGGGAGGGGACTGTTGTGGCCGCCTCTTTTTTAACTATTGCTGTCAAGTTTTTAATTAACCATGAACTATTTCACTGGGAAACCTACACAAAAAGTCATGAATAACTCTTGAACCATTGTTTAGCCAAATGTCTTGCAATTTTATTTGGTAAGTTCCAGGCAGTCTTGACAAATGTCATGGGACACATATGAAATTATTTCGTGAGAAACATTATTTGCAGCCTTTACCAAGTTTTGAAAAGGATCTGAAACTTTAGCAGCAATGGCCCTCAGGTTCATTTCATCAAAGTATCTTTGGTTCAGTTAGTGGTCTGCCTAAAAGGTCTTGCATGTGTATATATACTTTTTCTTTCTAAGTTGTCATCCTTGAAAATCACAAATTTTCTTGCAGCAGCAGTTCAAAATCTCAAGCTTTCAGCTTTCCAGGCATGTCAAATCATTCAAAATCTGTAGATTTTTGGTATGCAGTTTATATGCAGTTTATATGTAGTTTATATGCAGTTTATATGCAGTTTTCAAAACTGCATATAAACTACATGTAGTTTGGTCAAAACTGCATATAAACTACATGTAGTTTTGAAACTGCATATAAACTGCATATAAACTGCATATAAACTGCATATAAACTTCATATAAAATTTATATGAAAATTCAAGGGCTGACATGTGGTTTTTAAGGATTTTGATTATACATTTGGACTTGATTCCACTGATTCCCAAACCTTTGGACACCAATATGGACATATAAAATTCATAGTGTGATGCAATCAAAACTGGCAATGCCAGCAACTTGTTTCCTTTCCCAAAACTTTGAAACAATTGCAAGTGCAAAGGCCCAGTGCACTTGTTTACAAAAATGATTTGAAGAATCATAAAAGGTTATTTCTGTTCACAAGTAAGTAAGCATCTCTAAAGATCCAAGATCATCATATGTAAATCTCAAGTAAAGAGGTTTCAAGGAACCATAAAAGATTCTTTTGGCTCACAAGGAAACATCTGTACAGGCCCAGGATCATCCCCTACACATGTAAATCTCAAGTAAAGATGCTCTAATATACCACACAAATCCAAGAACATCACATGTAAATCTCAAGTAAGGATGTTTTAGGCAGGACAATACAAGTTTCTGTTTGTGTTCACAAGTAAACATCTGTACAGGTCCAAGAACATCACATGTAAATCTCAAGTCAAGAGGTTTTAAACAAAACAATAAACTTCTTTGTATTCACAAGTAAGCACTTGTACAGATCCAAGAGCATCACATGTAAATCTCAAGTAAGAATCTTTGGAGGAAACTGTCAGTGAACATATAGAGATTGAAGTGCTAGCTACTATTGGAAAAATGTATATGGAAAATCCAAAACTGTTTCAAGTATCCCCAGGTTTTTGCCTGCAACAAAGAAGCATGTTTCAAATGTTATGGATGCTTGGTCCCAAAATGGTAAAAAGACAATGATATGATCTTTACATGAACCTGCGCCTGGCATAAAGTACTCAGGCTTTGTTTGGAGGGTCACTTGATGGATCCTTAATTGAAGAAACTTCTATGTGCCAATCTTTACTTGTGGATTCAAACAATATGGTATACATTTGATGGATCCTTACTTGAGGAAACTTCCATGTGCTAATGCTTACTTGTGGATTCAAACGACATGGCCTATATTTGATGGATGAGCAGGGAATATAGAAAATTAGCTAACCACATGTTGGAAATTAGTAGTTAAATAGATCTGATGATCTTAGATTAACTTGCTTCAGTAGTCCAGACACAGAGAGAGCGGCGCTAAAAGCCAATAAAGGCAGATGACCAGAGAATATAGAAAATTAGCCAACCACATGCCATAGCTTCAGGAGTCCAGACACAGAGAGAGCGACGCTAAAAGCCAATAAAGGCAGAAGACTAGGGAATATAGAAAATTAGCCAACCATATGTTAGAAAGTAGTAGTTAAATAGATCTGATGATCTTAGATTAACTTGCTTCAGGAGTCCAGACACAGAGAGAGCGGCGCTAAAAGCCAATAAATAAAGGCAGATGACCAGAGAATATAGAAAATTAGCCAACCACATGTTAGTACTTAAATGTTAAATAGATCTGATGATCGTAGATTAGCTTGGATTAATCTGGATTAATCTGGATTAATCTGGGACCAAAAAAACCAAAAAAAACAAAAAAAACAAAAAAAACAAAAAAAACAATGTTTTGGAGACTAGTCTAAAGATAGCCCTGATCCAAGTAGTCCTGAAAACATTGGTTTTTTTGTTTTTTTTTGTTTTTTTGTTTTTTTTGGTTTTTTTGGTTTTTTTGGTCCCAGATTAATCCAGATTAATCCTTGGGGCTTGAACAGATATCAACACACAAGTTATCGGAAGGGAATGTTGTGACACCCAAATCTCACAAGAACACAAGTTATCGGAAGGGAATGTTGTGACACCCAAATCTCACAAGAAGTATTCTTTATACATATTAAGTGTGAGATTTGGGCGGCCACAACAGTCCTTTCTGGTTTTGAACTGAGTAAACTATAGCAAAATATATAGCACATTTTATAGGGTTTAAGTGGGTCTTCGATCGGTTTTCATGGATGATATGGATGAGCCGTTTTGGTGGATACGCGGATACACATCTATTTGTCCTTGGAGATTTTGTCGAAGGCTATCCATCAGGTGACTGGGGGGGTTCTTAAAATGGTGGACCCATGTGGGCCCCAATATCATCCAAACATTGGTCATTTTCAATGGGGAAACCTATGGTTTTGGGGCATCCGAATTTCAGAAACACCAAAATGTATCCAAATGTCTCATACCCTCTGGTAAACTAACATAGCTATGGAAATTCACCATTATTTATAGGTAAAGCAACAAAAAATTGTTCATTTTCAATAGCAAACTGTTAGCTTGCCAGAGGGTATATGGCTATTCCCCTATTGGTTACAATCGATTACTGGGGGTTCTGCCCTAACTCATCATGATGTTTTCCAGCAGGCGCCTGTGGTGCTTGCTGGGCATTCCTTGTTGCATGGGAGTGCCTTGGATCGGGCATGTGAGATTCTACCTCGGTAGGTTGCCCCTTGCTAAACTGACATAGGCATGTTGAGAAAAATCAAACATTTATAGACCACATCCAAGGATATCCAAGGATATCCAAGGATTATGTTTTCTGTATCTATGTTAATGTGATCTCTGGTAACTGGTCAGTGGGAATATGTCATAGCAGGGGATCTAAGACACTGAATACACAGTGAGGCCCCCTGGTCAGCCAAGTTGGTTTATAACTCCATATAACTCCCACACCAGCTGTTGATGCTAGATAGAACTACGTATAGTTGATTGGGACACCAACCATCAAGGTGCTGCGTATATTAGGATCTGCTGTGAGATATAAGATGCTTAGGACTTTCTGAACGGCGCACTGTCCAAAAATATCCTTGGTGCTTGGGATATGTCTACTCACGATGTGTCAAAGTGACCAAGTGTGCTACTATTGTTCTTGATCAACTGTTATTTCATTAAGATCAAGTAGCAGTAGCACTTGTTGCCGCAAAGTAGGACGTGAAGCAAAAAACTCGCAATTGACCCGCTGGATGTGGCAGTTGCCACCAGGATCATGTGAGCTGTTTTTCAGTGGGGGTCACTTGCTAATCAAGCCGAATCCACTCAGGCTGGGTGGGTATGTTAAGACATATATAATCATATATATATATATAATATATATATATAATATATATATACATGGAATGGATTGAGATGCCTTTGGATTCCTTTGGATTCCGTATCTAGGAAATGACCCCCCATCGGGGTACCTAAATAGAATGAGGGGGCAGGAGCCCCTTTTAAAATTAAAAAAACAATAAATAAAACGAAAATAAAATAGGTCAGACCCCAGCATTTTATTTTGTGGGTGCATTTTATTTTTTGAGGTGCCTAACCCATCAAGTTAACTGACAGAGATAGCATGATAGCAAAGATGCACAGCTGTGAACGGTCTGATCATTTTGTGAAACATTCCAGAGATTTGGAATTACTTGGACATTAACTTCGAACATGGGTTGGCCCCCCCTCATTTTCTATTGCCTTCCTTGGTCAACAAAAGACACACGGGCAGCTTACAGCAGCCAATGAGATTTCTTAAGTTTATTTATATTTATTTGTATCTTTTCTAGAAACCATCCAGATGTCAGAAGTGGAAATGTTCAACTTACTGCCTGGCCCATCTTAGAGAGGTTTCTCACTCATTCAATGGTGTTGTTGGCTGAGGTCTGTTGAAAGCAGCTTCCAAAGAACATGACCAGTGCCGTGCAGAGTGTGATCGCCTACAGGCGGAACAGGGTCTCCGCTAAAGGTGTTGCAGTTGTCGCTTGGGATGTTCATTCTTCGTTGATCAGCATTGATCCATATCTATACCTATTGAATTATTGACACATGACAGCATATAACAACTAATGGATATGGATATAGAAATGATATTCGGCAAATACGTACTGATGAAGGGTTTCCATGGGTTTCCTAAAAAGATTGTCTTTTCCCATGAACGATGTTTCAAGTGACCCTGAAGTCCTCAAGCCAGAGGCGTCCGATGGAATGACACATCACCTTTCAGTGCCTTCGTCAAGCCAAATGGTTGGGTTAATGAGTGGGTTAAACGAGGGTTTACGAGTGGTTATGGCAGGTATATCATAGGGTTTATAGACTAACTATGACTAACTCACATAACTGGGGGGGCACCGGCTTGTGAGGCTACTTTAGAGAAAATTCTACGACGGATTTGATCTTAGCACCAAGGATTCGCAGATGGTGGATTCTTGCAATTGCAATTGTTCAACATACGGAATATAATACAATTTGGGGATCGCATTTCATTGTCTTAGATTTGGAAGTGTTCTCATTCCCGCTTCCCGTACGCGTCCTATACCACTGGGGTTCAGACACGGGACCCGTGTGGAAAGCTGGCCGGAATGAGGCCCCCATAAATTCAACCCGTTTTTCCCCGCAGTCTAACCCATGAGAACGTGTGCCATTCAAAGTCAGACTTGATTTGATGGCAAAAGACAGTTTCCTGTATTTGTTTCCCTTCAAGCAATTCATTGAAACATGGATATAATTAGAATCTATTGAAATAGTCAAATAGTCATAAAAACCCATTACAAGCCACCAAAGCCCCAGTAAAGGCACTATTTTTTTTCATCAAAATCACCCGATGCCTTAGGCGCAGAGCACTGCACTGCAGCAGCTGCTGAAAGGCTGCGAAGAGTCCTCCTGGCACCTGAGCAAAAGACTACTGCAGGTGCGGGCCGTTTCTATGAGGTTTAGATGGGGAGTGGGTCAATTTGTGTAAAGCTTTATGGGACTATGGATGACTATGGGACCAGAGATTTCTAGATTTTTGAATATTTTTTAGTATATGGGGGTTTCCGGAAATGGGGATACTTCAATAGCTGGATGGTTTATAATGGAAAATCTACTAAAATGGATGATGTGGGGTGCCCCTATTTTAGGAAACCTCCATATGGGGGATGGGTCAATTTCTTCAAGCTTTATTGGACTATGGGACCACAGATTTCCAGATTTTTAGATAATGTTAGTATATGTTAGAGGATATGTTAGTATATTTTTGTTTAATATGAACCATGTGATGATTTTTTGGTACCCAATTTTGACCCGTAGCCACTGGGAGTTTATATGGAGGATTAATCCAGGTACAATCTTGGTGATGAATTTCATTCCCCATGCTGACATTGGTGAAATCACTTGTAGACATTTCGAGCTAACAAATCTTATGTTGCTGTGTGTTTATGTGTTTTGTGTGTGTGTTGTGGTCTAGCCTTGAACGATGATGGCCCTCAATTCACTGAGATTATAAGACATAAGAGTATTCAGAGCGGTGCAGCATTTTTTTATGTTCAACCCTTAGCTTGGATGATGACCCTCAATTCACTTATGGACAGTATGTGACCAGCACGCTCTGCAATGAGCATAGCAGCTATCGCTAGTTAGAACTGGTGGGTAAATTTCAGAGTCAGTCAACTATGTAGCAACAAATAGAGAAATCTATATCATATCTATTTATATATATATACATATTTTTCAGGACATCCAATGTCGGTCATGACGTCGCCCAAGATGAGTAGTTTTTTATGGTGTTTAAATCATCCGCATATGTGTTGAATTTTCAGGAGGAGAGGAAATCATGTACTTTACACTTGACTCCGGATAATTTTCATGAATTGGTTAAAGTTGAAGTGTACATTTTCAGGACATGCGTGTAGTTTGGGGGCAAGCAAGATTCTTTATGGTTAAGATATGTTAAGATGTTCTTTTCAACCAATCCATTGAATATTGTGGTTAGGCAAGTCCCCTGAGCGGGATTTACCCATCGATTCATTCAGTCCTACCGGTATAGCCGCATTTGTACTTTCATGAATAGCAATGGACAATGTGACAATGGCCCAGTTATAGATGATTTAGATTGACGTATGTCCCAACCATCCCTACAGCTCCAAACACCTTCTGAGACTGTATTCCCCACCTGCCAGGTGAGGGTTGTTAGATTTCATCAGAGCTGTTGTCCTCCTCCTTCTCCTCCTCCTCCGCCTCCTCCTCCAGTTTCTCCTCGACCATGTCTGCATCAACTTCCACCTCCACTTCCGCCTTGCCAACTCTTCGCCAAGCTCTTCGCCAACTTCCGAGCTCAGTGCGCACTGCTGGACCTCAACCTGGGACCTTCCCAGCTCAGTGCGCACTGCTGGACCTCAACCTGGGACCTTCCCAGCTCAGTGCGCACCGCTGGACCTCAACCCAGCTCAGTGCGCACCGCTGGACCTCAACCTGGGACCTTCCCAGCTCAGTGCGCACTGCTGGACCTCAACCTGGGACCTTCCCAGCTCAGTGCGCACCGCTGGACCTCAACCTGGGACCTTCCCAGCTCAGTGCGCACCGCTGGACGGCCAGATAGAATGCCAGAAGATATGCCAGATAGAATGTCAGATAGAATGCCAGAAGATATGCCAGATAAAATGCCATAAGATATGCCAGATAGAGTGCCAGAAGATATGCCAGATAGAATGTTAGAACAGGCAGGAATGTCTTTAAAGCTAGGATGGAAGTTCTGTAGTAATGAAACAACAGGTTACCAGGCACGAAAAGAAATGGCTTGTATAACAGTTGGAGATTGGAGGCTGAGGTTGATAGAACTGCGGAACAGATTTGAGAGGATCAGTTTTTTCCCGAGAGCGCCTGCGAAGGGTTCTTCGTAAAAAAGCAGCCGTTGTAATACATCTTCACACCCTTTCATCTGCTGATCTACATCTTCACACTCACATTTGCTGATCTACATCTTCACACCCTCACATCTTCTGATCTACATCTTCACACACTCACATCTGCTGATCTACATCTTTACACCTTCACATCTGCTGATCTACATCTTCACACCCTCACATCTGCTGATCTACATCTTCACACCCTCACATCTGCTGATCTACATCTTCACACCCTCACATCTGAAGATCTACATCTTCACGCCCTCACATCTGCAGATCTACATCTTCACACCCTCACACCTGCAGATCTACATCTTCACACCCTCACACCTGCTGATCTACATCTTCACACCTTCACACCTGCAGATCCACATCTTCACACCCTCACATCTGCAGATCTAGATCTTCACACCCTCACATCTGCTGATCTACATCTTCACACCCTCACATCTGCAGATCTCCTCTCGCTCTTCTTTCTATCTCTCTCTTAAGGCGGGGGCGGTGCGGCCGGAGCGCCACGAAACGCAACCCTTTCGCACGAAATGGACGTTGGACGTCAAAAACTGAATGAAAATTGCGATTTTAGTTAGTCAAATGCAACCCTTTCGCACGAAATGGACGTTGGACGTCAAAAACTGAATGAAAATTGCGATTTTAGTTAGTCAAATGCAACCCTTTCGCACGAAATGGACGTTGGACGTCAAAAACTGAGCCATCGCAACCCTTTCGCACGAAATGGACGTTGAACGTCAAAAACTGAAGTAAAAATTGCGATTTCACGGGTCCGGTCTCTGTGTGTGAAAGTGTGTGTGTGTGTGTAAAAGCTTCTGTGTTTAAAAGCTTCCGTGTGTAAAATGGTCTGTGTGTAAAAGCGTCTGTGTGTAAAGGAGTCTGTTCTTAAAAGCTTCTGTGTGTAAAAGTGTCTGTGTGTAAAATGGTCTGTGTGTAAAAGCGTCTGTGTGTAAAGGAGTCTGTGTGTAAAAACTTCTGTGTTTAAAAGCTTCTGTGTATAAAGGAGTCTGTGTGTAAAATGGTCCGTGTGTAAAATGGTCTGTGTGTAAAAGCGTCTGTGTGTAAAGGAGTCTGTGTGTAAAAGTGTCTGTGTGTAATATGGTCTGTGTGTAAAAGTGTCTGTGCGTAAAAGCGTCTGTGTGTAAAGGAGTCTGTGTGTAAAAGCGTCTGTGTGTAAAGGAGTCTGTGTGTAAAAGCCTTTGTGTGTAAAAGCTTCTTTGTGTGTAAAAGCTTTTGTGTTTAAAAGCTTCTGTGTGTAAAAGTGCCTGTGTGTAAAATGGTCTGTGTGTAATAGTGTCTGTGTGTAAAAGCGTCTGTGTGTAAAGGAGTCTGTGTGTAAAAGCGTCTGTGTGTAAAGGAGTCTGTGTGTAAAAGCCTCTGTGTGTAAAAGCTTCTGTGTGTAAAAGCTTCTGTGTTTAAAAGCTTAGCATGTTCGTTCGGTACGTTTGGGCGTTCAGAACGCGCGTTTTAAAGACTCGCGTTCCAGAACGCGCGTTCTGAGTGAATCCTTTTTTCCAATGATATAAAGTCAATTTATTTCCGGGGTTTGAACAGAGAAACCCTTTTCCCCCACTAAAAAAAAGGATGTGGAGCTCTTGTGGGCTCAAAGTTGTGCATGAAGCCACCAGAAAGTTGATCTTCCCAACTCCGGATCCTTTTTGGGTGAGGCAAAAAAGGTTCTGGCCTCACCAGGCTTGTGGGGCAAGTTAGGTTTCCTTCCCGGATCCTTTTTTTCTCTGAAAGAAAAAGGTTCTGACCCCTCACAAATTTTATCATAGTGCTATTAACAGGGGTCTAAGAAGACTTTGAACATTTTCTGAAAAATACTATGTGACACAGCGGATCCTTTTTGCAGGGAGCAAAAAAAGGATTCGGACGCTTCTGGGATCCACAAAACCACTAAAAACACCCCTGCGTTCGGAACACGCGTTCAGGAACGTACGTTTTGCGTTCTGCGTTGTGAACGTGCTAAGTTTAAAAGCTTCTGTGTGTAAAAGTATCTGTGTGTAAAAGCTCCTGTGTGTGAAAGTGTTTGTGTGTAAAGCTTCTGTTTGTAAAAGTCTCTGTGT